ATGTTTTTTTTTTTTTTTATAATATTAAAGATTATTTCTCCACGGACTCTAGGTCCGTGCCCTTGTCATACAGTTTTTTAATTATAATACATCTAGTCAATATTTATAAAGTAAAGAGGGAACCTAGTTACATACTACAATTAACTACATCTATAATTATTAGCAAAAGTATAGGTTACATAATAATTAGGCACTATTTATTTATTTCTATTTCAAAGGCTTTATGAAACCAGCCCACCAACACGATGGGAGAGCCGACCTGACCCAGCAGAAGGCACCCGTTCACGAGTATGACGTGTGTGTCAGCAATTGGTCCGGTCAACCTTTTTATTGGGAACGGAACAACCCAACACACAGCGCCACCGACTGTAGGACATTTATGTGTGCATGACGCCTCAACCCTTGCCACATGGGCCGATTCCAATAAAGCGTACAATAGTCCAAAATTCAATTGGTCATATTCTATTTCTACATGTTTCTGCACACACATTTCCTCATGTTGCATTCGTTCCATCACAAGCAACACTCCCCGCCCAAGAGAGCACCCACGACTGCCGCGTCCCTGTGTTTGATGGCCATTTTCAGGTTGTAGTCCTTAATACCTTGCTCACCCTCATCAGCCGCCTTCCTGATTAGTTTGCTTATCGCGTCTTCACTGTTGTCTGTGTAATAGATGCAACCATGCGTGTGACGCGATATTGCTACTACCGCGTGTGGTACGCTGTCATGTATTTGATGTTTCTTTGTTGCTGTGTTGACAACAATCACATTCGCACACGAAAGTCCCTGTGCCTCGTGTATCGTGAGCACGCGTGATCCCACGGTCGACCCGTATCCCTGGTTCTTAAGGGATTCCTTCTCTGCCTGAGTGTGTACCAGGTATAAAGTGTCGGGGAGTGACTTTGGAATCATCGCCCCCGAGAACCTTTTTATCTCGAGGGATCTCACGAACGACCTGGACGAATATATGCCACTGTAAACTGTGCTGAGGGCATACGCCACATCCATTGGATTTCTGTGGGTACACATCAATTCCTGGCTTATGGGCGTGATATATGTAGGGCGGCTGTAGAGTAGAGGGAAGAGGTTATCACGATCTATAAACGGAAGCTGATTTATGTCACCAATTAGAAGGACTTCCTTGGCTCGAGTTATTCGGGCGGCCATCACAACGGCTCCAAAGTGGTTCATGAGAGCCTCATCTACCATTAGGCGATGGCAGCTCTCTCGCTCCCCCAAGCCGTTTACTAGGATGGACGCCATTGTTCGAACCCTAGATTTGACGAGTCCTCCGATTCGGCAGGATAGTTTGCCTCTGAGGTCATTTGCTGCTTCGGTTGTCGTGGTGACAATTAGATCTTTGCCCGCTTCAATGAATAATGCATGCATGCATTAAATGAATTATGTTACATACATCCATTGGTCGTACTAATCCTATCCTACAAAGTCAAAGCATTTATTTCAATTAAACTGTCAAACACCAAGCGGTCACCGGTAACCGCAACCTATTGTTATATAAATGTGTCTACAAAGACGGTACTCAACGAGTTAAACCATAATTTGGTACCTTTAAAACGTCAACAAATACAAAATAAACAATAGTCTGTCAGTCAGTCCGTCATTGAAGCTAGGTGAAGCTAGGTGCTCATTCCAAAACGTAGATTTGAATGGAGAACGAGCAAGAAACTCCATTCGTTACTCTTTTTACGCATATGTGAGAACAATGCAAAGCCACGCGCATTATCTTATAGTCTAACATGGTGCTCACATATGCATACTGACAATCCATAAAAATAGTGCTTCTATACAAGAAAAAGAAAACCTTTTGTTTCAATAAAGAAAGAAATGCTCGATGCCATAAGGAAAAAGAAATTACATACATACATACATACATAACTTCACGCCTGTCTCCCATGGGGGTAGGTAGAGACTAAGGAACGCCAATTACTACGATTCTTACAAACCTCATTCGCTTCATCAACAGTCATCAATCTTTTCATGCATGCTCGTCTGTTAAGGTTACTTTTAATTTTGGCCCTTCTTTAATATATCGCCAATCTGGTCACTGTATGTCCGTCTAGGGCGCCCTCTACCGACGGCCCCATCCCAAAAAGAAATTACTTTATATTATAAATGCGAAAGTTTGTGAGGATGTATTTGTTTGTTACTCTTTCACCTTAAAACGGCTGAAGGCATCATGATGAAGTTTGCGGGAGACGCCCTTGGATGATTTTCCCCCCTTAAAAAAAATCAGTCTATTCATACATTGCATGCATGCATTACATGATTACTCGTCGGTTTACAGTCGAATTATTCAACGCCAATTAAATTATAAAAGGAATAAGTTTGTATATTTGAAAATTATACCAGACTAAAAACTTTCAACTATTAAATAGTGGTCCCGTAGCCTTTTGCCAACATTTTTTTTGCCGACTTGCCACCCTGTAATAACGCCATTGATAGCTGGTTAACATGGATATTTCAGAAGTACATCTTTAAGAGTTAACATTACATAACATAACATCACGCCTTTTTATCCCTAAAGGGGTAGGCAGAAGTGCACATTACAACACTTAATGCCTCTGTACAATATAACAACCACTTTTCACTATTTATGCTACGAGTCCCATGAAATAGAGGGTGAGCCTATTGCCATATACCGGGCAAATTTACAGACTCCGTACTGTGCTGCGTACTGAGATTTTTAAAAACCCAGTAAAAAAACATTACCGTCTCCACAAAAATTGTGTTAACTATTAAGCCAAATTTGCTCAACCAATTCCTCTCTTCTCACATGACACTTCCTTAAAAGGTTTTTGTTAATAAGGCAGCATCACAGAAATGTTAAAAACATTATATTATCTATGGGTAGCACCTTATAGAGATATTTGTTCTAAAGTTCTAATAAATGTGTGGGTACAACAATTTAATTCTTACCATAGGCCAAATTCCGTTTTGTCGAGTAAATACTAAGATGTACATCTTTGTATAGAGATCAGATTAGGTATGATATGACATTGAAAGGTTAAGGATGATATAATAATGCTTGTACACACGGCTACACATAACCAGTATAAAGTGAACGTTAAATGTGCGGAAAGATGATGCGACGCGACACCAGGATAAACTGGTTTTGTATAGATTGATATATGGCCGTGTGTACCGAGATAATATAAAATAATCATGATTCATGGTCCGTGTACGGAAAATGTACGACTGATGCCGATACGACATTCAAACCTTCGAGAAAAGGACGTACGTCCATTTTAAAAGATCCTCACAGAAACCCCACGTGAAGCAACGCTTGCGTTGTTTCGTCATGTGAGTGACGTTACCGGAAGCCCAATCACCCCCCCCCCCCTTCCCCAATCTCCCCAATCCCTGAATACATATATTTTTTTTTTAATTTCAGGCCACCAACAGAACAGTCCCACAAACAATACAACAGTCACACATCGGCTACCTTCAGTTAATTCTGCTCCACATTTGAATGGTAACGGTCATAGAGATGACGTCACGTTTGCCAATGGACAGAGAGAGAAGCAAAGAGGCAATGAGAAGACGGAGATTATGGAGTGAGTTTTATATAGCTTTGCTGGGTCCTATTTTATGGTTTCACCGTCTGCTCGGGATTACTGCTACTTGCTGGTAACGCAATTGTAACACCTCTGGTGTTTCGGGTGTCCATGGCTGACGCTGATTCCTTACAATCAGGTGATCCACCTGCTCCCTTACCGGCTTATCCTATAAAATAACAGTAACTGTAGACTTCATTTTTTTGGATCCTATTAGCATATCTGCAACACCAGAGGCGAATGCCGATAACAGACTTATAATAATATTTTCCATTATTCACAATAGTCCTACACTAACCGGGGACTGTTCTTGGGTGCATTTCCATAGTGCATACAGGGATAGTCGCCGGTTTGTGTCTCCATTACATTTAGATTAAAGTTGTCTAAAGGGCCTCTGCGCAGTTGGCTTCGGCCCCTCGTACGCCTCCCAAATGACCGGGACCCTGTGGTCCCGTGAATGGTAAAGACATATAATAATAATATTATCTCGGTAGCTATAATACATTTAAAACTTCCTTAATATTTTTCAGATCTGATAACGCACCTACTTCGAAACCTAAATCGAAAGTAAGTAAAAAGACTTATTCTTTTTTTATATATATTTGAATCGGTCGACGTTTGACCATCACCTCGCCTGGTGGTAACCGATGATGCGATCTACGATGGAGCACGTCGTCCCATAAGCAACCTATTCACTCGGACCTGGTCACACCCTGGTTATACCCTTCAGGAAATACAGACTATGACAAAGAATTCCACTTCTTAGCAGTACGCACAAGGAATCCTAACGCGAAGCGCTTCATGAGTGTGGGTGAGACATCTACTATGAATCGGAAATTCTTCTTCAAATTGCCTTATCTAAGTACATTATCGGCACTAAATGTCTTCTATTCCTGATAAGCCGGTAAACGAACAGACCGATCACCTAATGGCAAGCAATCGGCGTCGCTCATAGACACCCGGTACACCAGAGGCGTTACAAGTGCTTTACCGTCCTCTTGGAGATTAGGAATTTGAGAATTGTTGGAGATTCAGGGATTGGGGAGATTGGGGATGGGGGAGAGGTAATTTGGCCTCCGGTAACCTCACTCACACGACGAAACACAACGCAAGCGTTGTTTCACGTCGGTTTTTTGGAAGGCCGTGGTATCACTCCGGTCTAGCCGAAGCATGGCTCTCCCACACTTAAAGAAGAGAAGTTTGCTACTATCTATCTATAATAAAACAACGAAGTTGAGATTCGGAAACAGAACTAAAACAATTTTATTCTTTTTATTAAACATAGACAACACAGTAATTTCTTACATTCTCATAAGACCACAGAGATTCTATACAAATGAGTATGTTGAGATCCAATTTAACACTATCTATATGACTTAGGTACTCACTTATTTTATTTTAGCCAAACTGATGTCACGAAACACTGACATTCGTTTGCTCATTACTTTAATTCCAAGTACCCAATAATATCACGCTACGATGGATGTCAAAAGTTTCGAAAATAAAAGAAGACTCAAGATAAATTCAATAATACTTTCACCGACTCGACAGATGGCGCGAACTCGGCAAACAGTTAAAATATCCCTTTTGGTCGGAGTGTGGATATTTTTCACAGTGGTATTTCTGATGCATAATGAGAAGGAAGAAGTTACTAGACATTCTTCTGTGGCTCCTGGAGATATCAAAGGTAATTTACAAACAATAGGCCGTTGCTCTGCTCACCTGTTTAACCCTATTAAATAAAGTAACAATAATTTGTAGAATAGAGTAGTATACAGTGTATGATAATTAAAAATGTAATTAGTCCGTCAGTTAGATAATGACAAAATATTAGACACATACTTTTTGTTTTGTCGTATAACAAAACAATACTTACATAAAACGGAGTTAAGTGGGAGGTCGTTACGTCACCTTACGTCCCTATAAAATGCAGTAAATCGTGACGTCATACGATGTTTCAAATCATTATATCGTCGAAAGTATTTAATTTTGTAAGAAAATAAAAAATATGTGCATAGTGTTTTAAGAGCATCTACCAGACGGACATTAAAAATGTTTTGTTTACTATCCTATTTTATAGTTTTTACTGATAAACGATGGAGGAAAACATTGGGATAAATGTACAGTGCAACCTAGATATGTTGTATTCTATTAATTTGAAATAAGTTTGAAATTTTAAATAAACCTTAAGTAAGCGTGGTGATTACTACTCATTTAACTTTGCCTAGAAGAGAACAGTTATCGGGTCAGGCACAATACGGTAGTTGACAGGTAGTCAAATTCAATACATTTATTGAATTTTCAAAAACAATACTTTTCTATGAATTTTGTATTGGATCGCACGACGTTGTCATATTTCTTTCGTCCTCGTCGTCAAATAGCATACTTATTTCCTTAAACAGAGCGAGAAAAAATCCAAAACTAGGTAAATTGTCAAATCAATGAATGAGAGTATGATTATTTTTTAATAATTTATTACATTGAAAAGTTGTAACAATTTATTTTAAACCTAGGAAACTAGTTAATTCCTGACTATATGACAACATTGAGAATTTTTCAAAAAACTGTAAAAATAACTTCTTCTTGTCATCTTTTTGCAGACTACTTAATCCAGAATGATAAAAACAAGCATTCAGTGTTACTAAAACTGACCGGACCATTCTTGTCCGAAGCTTACGAGAAAAAATTGAACATTCATGAAAAGCTGAATATGAGTAGAATGGATATTTGGATAGAAAAGTGGATTCCCAAAGGCCCTACGCAGGATCTTGGAGAGAGCTCTGATTATGAGACCATAGAGGTATGAAAAATTCATTCTTTTTAGTTAAGCTGTTTTCTTTTGAAGAGTTACGGTTGTTTTAGTTTTAAACAGCTATTCGTCAATTTTTGTCGCTAATATTAGAAATTGTTTTTTCGAATCAAACGATAGTTTTGGTTGAAACATTGTTGTATGAGAACATGCACTGTTCTCCGGTTATATTATTAATCTTAGATAGTATTTATCATGTTAATCGCCACATGGGTCACCGGCGACAGACATTAATGGGCGATTTCGCTTCAATAGTTTTCTGAACTGACCATTCCATATACCGAAGACGATTTGAAATGACTGAGAATTTCACCGTGTTATTATTACCATTCACGGAACCACAGGGTTCCGGTCATTTGGGAGGCGTACCAGGGGCCGTATCCAACGCAGAGGTCTTCTAGACAACTTTAATCTAAATGTAATGGGCACACGAACCAGTGACTATCCCTGTACGCTCTATTCACCGTGCTTATATTAACATTATCGAAAAAGTAAATCCTCATAATTAGTATATAACTTTTCTAAACCTGAAAATCCATCTTAATACGACCGTCTAATTACAAGTTCCAAGCATATTCAATATAGTATCTACTCCCAAAATATCTCAAAATACTACCAAAATTTTCAGACCTCCATTCATTGGACGATAATATTAGAAAATCAAGCCGAAGACTTCCATGAGAGTGAGACTCGATCTTCTGTCTTAGTTCTACCATCTTCTTCTGCAAATCATAGCGTTTTAGCTGTGAGAATGGTTACTACATCTAATGTTACGACTCCGTTCACTCTGAGCTATACTTTGGATCCCCTAGATGGGACTACTGGCATTATTTATGCTTGTATTCTTCTGTTTGCGTTATATGCCTTGATTGTGTTTGAGGTAAGTAGTTTTTATAATCTTTTTTGGTAATTATACAAAGACTTTTACAGTCTCCGCCACCTTCATGGGAGACTAGCGCGAGGTTATGTAAGTACGTATGTATTTTATATCCGAAGGTTTTTACAAAGGTGCAAATGAGAAATATATCACTTTTCATCTACGTTGTTATGAGTCCCAAGTAATAGAAGTTAAGCTTATTGCCATATACTGGGCACAATTCCAAAATCCAAGAAATTTCCATCATTTTTCGAAAAATTTGAAGTAGTTACGTAATTGCAATTACATTTATATTTCGATTCGAATAGGTACTGTTTATTGGTAAGCAATTAGCGCTGACGGAGACCTGTAGGACAACTGATGGACATATTTTTTTTTATAGCATAAGCCGCTAAACGAGCAGACGGATCACCTGATGGTAAGCAATCGGCGTCGCCCATGGAGACTCGAAACACAAAGGCGTTACAAGTGCGTTACCAACCTTTTGGGGATTGGGAATTTGAAGATTGTGGAGGATCGGGGATTTGGGAAACGGGGACTAGGTAATTGGGCCTCCGGTAACCTCACTCACACGACGAAACACAACGCAAGCGTTGTTTCACGTCGGTTTTCTGCTCGGTCGTGGTGTCACTCCGGTCGAACCGGCCCATTTGTGCCAAAGCATGGCTCTCCCACGTATAACAGGTTGACGGACTTGATTAACTCAATAAATGATTAGCTGTTAGCTTCACTGATTTAGGTTGACGGACTTCTCTATTTTTATCGATACAAAAGTCAAATTTTGAAATAACTGCTTTGACTTAACTCTAATCACCATCAGGTAATAAACAGGACTATGGCAGCAGTTCTCCTATCCACTACATCACTAGCAGTATTATCCATAGCTGGCGAAAGACCGTCAGTGCCGGAGATCATATCCTGGCTGGACGTGGAGACATTACTCCTACTCTTCAGTATGATGGTTCTGGTCGCCATCTTGGCTGAAACTGGAGTTTTTGATTACTTCGCTGTACTGACTTTTCAGGTAAGTTGTTAATGTTTTTTTGAGTATTAAAATAATATCACGCCTTTTATCTCCAAAAGGGTAGGCAGAGGTGCATATTGCGGCATTAAATGCCACTGTACAATGTAATACCCACTTTGCACTATTTATGTTATAAGTCCCATGTAATAGAGGGCGAGCCTATTGCCATATACCGTGCACATTTCCAGACTACGTGCTACTACTGAGATTTTTAAAAACCCAGTAATACTTTGCGCGGCCCGGGAATGGAACCCGAGACCCCTTGCCTGTCAGTGGCACTTGCGACCACTCGACCAACGAGGCAGTCAATGTAACACCCATTATTCAATATTTATGATATGAGTCCCATGTAATAGGAGGTGAGCCTATTGCCATATACCGGGCACAATTCCAGACTCCGTGCTACTACTGAGAATTAAAAGAAAAAATAACTTTCGCATTTAAAATATCAGTACGATAGGAGACCTGAGACCTAGTTTCCGATCGTAAAATAACAAAAGTCTAAGTAGACTACAAAAGACGACTATGATCACATGATAAGCTACTCACATTTTACAAGACAAACACACATATTGTTCTCATTAACACAGTTATACATTTAAATGATAACACGGATGATGTATGACAGATAATCTATTTGTTGATTTCGTTTGAATGACTGACTGACAAGATTGTTGCGAATTATGATCATTCGAATTATCTCTTGTATGTGATACATGTATACGTTATCTATCGACTGGTGTTATAAATTCGAAAATAGTTGGCTAAAAACGGGTAACCAGGGCTCCGGCTCGACGTGCAGGAGAAGGAACGGGGTGGTTTTTAGTCAGTAAGGGTCTGACACTCCCTCCCACCTCACCCAGGCGGGAGCACTCATTCGATGATTTTCCCCCTTAAAAAAAATACTAGGATTGTCTCCTGTATCGTGGGTGCGTTTACAAACATACAAGTTCATATACACAACACACCCAGAAGCGGAACAAATAATCTGTGGATCACACAAAGAGTTGCTCTGTCCGGGAATCGAAATCGCGACACGTTGCGCGGCAGGCAGTTGCCCAACTACGGCGCCAACTGTTCAGTCAATGATGATGGTGGTTTATGGGATAGGTCGGTAGACGAGCAAAGGGGTCACATGATGGTAAGCTATCGGTTTCGCAAATGGACACCCGCAATACCAGAGAAGTTAAAAGTCAGCGAGGAATGGATATTGAGAATCTCCAGTTACCTCACTCAATCACATGACAGACACAGGACAAAACCACAAACGTGGTTCCTTAGATAGGTTGTACTTCGCAGTTTATAAGGTCCATGTTTATTACATCCGTGTGTCGTGGTGGCCCGCGGTTTAAGACGTCCGCATCTCATGCATGAGGCAAGAACCAATGTGACTTTTTCCGAGTTATATGTACTTTCTAAGATTATCTAGACACCACTGACAACCGGTGAAGGAAAATATCGTGAGATAACCTTTGGTTATAATTTCTAATTGTAAGTATGAAATCGCCAACCTGCAATGAGCAAGCGTGGTGATTAATGCTCAAACCTTCTCTGTATGAGAAGAGGCTTTGCGCAGCAGTGGGGATTTATAGGTTGTTGATGATGATGATGACTGCCGAGTGGTCGCAAGTGCGACTGCCGGGCAAGGGGTCTCGGGTTCAATTCCCGGGTCGGGCGAAGTATTAATAGGTTTTATGATAGCCGGCCCATTCGTGCCGAAGCAAGACTCTCCCACACTTAAATAGTCTTATCTTTAGTCGGGTGTCGTACACCGAAGTGAAGAGTTAGGGTGGTGACAAATAACTAACCTTCTATAATATTGTTTCAGCTAGCCAGAGGCAAGATATGGCCTTTGATAACAATGCTTTGTGGGATGACATCAATAGTATCATTGTTACTCGATAATGTTACGACTGTGCTTCTAATGACGCCTGTGTCTATAAGGTAGGTTGATATTTCCAAGACGGATTAACCTCTTATCTTCCGGAATGTAGGACTGGGATGCCGTCTCCTCCTTTTGCGCAGTCATGCTAGCTAAGGGGGAGGCGGGTCTCCCCACAACCTAGCCGTCGCGAAGAACACTCCGGGTATCGGGGATCGCGAGACGATCTCCGGCCACCATAAGTACGGGCCTGCGGACGGCGAGCATGGGTAGCTCGCCGCCCGGCCAGAACCAAACCTGAGTGTACGGTGCGTCACATTCCGCGCGCGCCTCAAAGAGACATCGTCTCAGGGCTTTCGCAGAGTCTGGCACTCCCTCCCGCTTCACTCAGGCGGGAGAAGACATTCGATAATTTTTCCCCCTTAAATATAAATCTTCCGGAATGTGAGACACAATAGAAAATACATCTCGATAGCGCCCTAGACCTGGTACTGGTAGGCACTTTTTTTTGGCACCATCGCTTACATACTGCCTGAGGTACGCAGGGATTTGGTGAATGGAAGGACGAATTGGGTGCCAGACTTTGCGTTACTACTGACAGTCCGTATATTCCAAAATGTTTTGTTGGACAAGAGAAATGAAACTATAAAAAATATTACCTGATTATTTCTTATTATATTTTATCCTATCGATTGCTTGCTTCATTTCTGAAGGTCGTGCCCCTGAAAGGCTTACATTGCTCTCTGTGTTGTTTCCCTCCATCTTGTCCTGATTTCGGCTTCTCTCAGGGCTTTCGTAACAGAGAGTCCAGTGAAATTGGCAACTTGGTCACACCATCGGCCACGTGGTCTTTTTCCTTCCACCTTACCACCAACAACCAATTTGTCGAGGTTATCTGACTGGCGACGGGTATCTTATAAACTATAAAAATATTTTTCTACTTTCTAGGCTATGCGAGGTAATGGAATTGGACCCCATACCGGTGTTACTGGCAATGGTTTTATTCTGCAACCTTGGCGGCACTGCGACTCCTGTAGGCGACCCTCCAAACGTTATCATAGCTTCTAACAAGCAAGTTGTTCAGGCTGTAAGTATTTCAGGTATATCTGTGTTTCCCGACAAATACATTATAACTTTCGTGTCTTTAAGTTCCGACTGAACAGGTTGCTCATTGGTAGGCGCTAGATGGCGCTGTATCTAGCTTTCACGTTTCGAAAATCGTTCTGTGTTTTAAATTTAATTTTGATTTTTTTATTTGTAATTTTAATTATTATCTTACATTTTTAGATTTGGTTTTGATGTTTATTGACTTTCCTTTGAATTTGACTATGTTAATTTGATTTTCGTTATAATAATTTGATTTTAATTATTTTAATTTTTTTAATTTAACTATGATTTCACAAACAGTCAAAAATATACAGTTACCTAACTTGGCCTATAATGGGGACTACTGTATTTCTGCTCACTAGATGGCGATGTACCTGACAAGCGAAACAAGTGAATTTATTTTTGAAAATAGGCTACAAGGTAGCATTTTTAAACGTCAATTTTTAAAGCAACGAAGACGGTCGACATTGTGTAATTGATTACTCTGAAAAGAAATGCCGAAACAAATTCAGAGCTCTCTCTTTTAAAGTCCAGACAAAATATAAATAAAAGATTATTCGCCTCGTTATTCGTCTAAAAATAGGGAATTAGCTAGTTTAAAATTTGACAGAAAGCTGTTGTATAGTCTCTTGGTAGACTAAACACACTTTTCTTGATTTAAATGAAAGTCAATAGTTGAGAATAATAATTTGTATTGTAGAATAATAAACTAACGTAAAATGGATTGAGTGAACTGTATGAGCGTGAGTGCTAATGTGAATTATGAGAACGTACGGCGGACTTGATTGCTCGATACGAACTGAATCGAATAATTAGGTAAATGAATTACGATGCGGAAAAATGCTGACTTTAAATGTGTACGGTTGCACCGTACAGCTGTAATGATTGAACAATGATCTTGTGCTAGATTTGTGCCATTGGGGAATAAAAAAAACTATAGCTCCCATTAATTATGTTTTCGGTTTAATCACGTTACTGTTTGACGAGGAAGTTAGTTTCAATATGAATGCAATAGCGGAGCAGATCGATTTGTTTCACTGTTTGGTAGGTGACTTCACAAGGGTTTTTTTTATGGGGGAAAATCATCGATTTACTGCTCCCGACTGGGTGAGGCGGGAGGGAGTGTCAGACTCTTACTGACCAAAACCCACCACGTTCCTTCTCCTGCATGTCGAGCCGAAGCCCCGGTTACTCGTTAGGCACCGCGGCACCGAATCGGCATCGGCCCTATTGGGCCCCATCTGTGGTGGTCTGATGGCTCTTTGAGACGCGCGCGGAATGCTTGGCGCCGTACGCCACCCGAGCGTACCCGTGTTTCTGGTCGGACGGGGAGCCACCCATGCTCGCCGCCCGCAGGCCCGCGCTTACGGTGGCCGGAGATCGTCCCGCGATCCCCGACGCCCGGTGTGTCCTTCGCGATGGCTGGGTTGCGAGGAGGCAGCGCTTCGCTGCCTCACGCGTCCCGCCTCCTCCTTAGCTAGCATGACTGCTTCGCAAAAGGAGGAGACGGCATCCCAGTCCCCCTCGCTCCGCATTATGGACTGCACTAGGCCCGGACGCGAAAGGTCGCCATCGCCGATCACTTCCCTGAGGGCACGGCGGTGCTCAGCCCACGCAGGGCATTCCGCTACAGTGTGTTCCACCGTGTCCTCAGGGTGGGACTTCACAAGGGTAGCGTATTCGGTGATATGTTATTAATGTTAGGATAATTTATTATTGTAGTTTCGTTTTAATTATATTTTATTAATTATTGCTTGTAAGTATGTTTTGTTTAATATAAGTAGCTTCTCTGTCACATTAGGTCAAACCTGTAATGATAGATAAATATAAGGTGTGGTGATAAATAAATACATAAATGAATGAACATGAATATAAGCCTCTAGCATGGCTTAAAACTAGTCGAGTCGCGACTCGACTAGTTTCAAGACCTCGTCAAACAGTTGGGTACACACGACTACACATCGAGTTTTACATAACCAGTATAAACTGAACGTTAAATGTGCGGTAAGATGATGCGACGCGACACCAGGATAAACTGGTTTTGTATAGATTGATGTGTGGCCGAGTGTACGTGAGTAAGCTGTATGTCTCAGAAAAGTCTTAATATGAAGATAGCTCCCATTAAATGCACGGCTTATCAGGCTAGTTGGCTTTAACATTAAATACCAATTTTCTCTCATCATCAGGGCATCAACTTCACCAACTTTACTCTGCATATGAGCTTCGGTATACTCCTGGTAGCTGTTCAGACCTACCTTCAGGTCAGGTTCATTTTTCGAGACACAAACAAATTGAGATTGACTGAATCTAAAGATGTTCAAGGTAAGATACAATATTATAATAGGGTAGTATCCTTTTTATTTTAATATGCGTCTGGTAGGTAGTATTTTAAAACATTAGTCACGTACTTTTTTTTAGCATAACATAACATTACGCCTTTCACCCCTGAAGGGGTAGGCAGAGGTGCACATTATGTAACACCCACTTTTCACTATTTATGTTATGAGTCCCATGTAATAGGGGGTGAGCCTATTGCCATATACCGCGCACTATTCCAGATGCCGTGCTAATATTGATACTTATATATTATAACTGAAGCATATATTGAAACTGAAGCCGAGACCCCTTGCCCGGCAGTCGCACTTGCGACCGCTCGGCCAACGAGGCAGTACTTTTTCTTTTCTTACAAAATTAAATACTATTGACGATATAGTGATCTGAAATGTCGTATGACGCCACGATTTACTACATTTTATAGGGTAGCGTGACGTAACGACCCCCCACTCCTAAACTTAACTCCGTTTTATCTAAGTATTGTTTTCTTATACGACAAAATAAAAAAATATGTGTCTAATATTTTTTCATTATCTGACGGACTGATTACATTTTCAATTTTCATACACTGGCACTAGGGTAGTCCCTATTCTTGATAATTCACGTACGTCACGTACGTCACTTACCTAATTACCCAATCCCTTAAAGTCCTGCAGTGCACTTGTAACGCCTCTAGTGTTGGGTATTTATGGTTGGCGCCGATTGCTTACTATCAGATGAGCTTTATTTAGTTCCACAATAAATTAGATTACATTACTTAATAAAAATTACAGGCCCTTGGCGTTGCTGGATTTAGTTGCCTTACATTATCTAACAATCATGTTATTATAAAAAATCTTGTTCAATTCACAGATCTTCGTCGTCAAATTTTAGTATGGAGACGTGCAGTAGATTCCTTACACCACTTAAGTCCAGAACAGCTTATAGTCAAAGACAGATTAGAAAGAAAAATAAAGAAGTTGACTATCAAACTGGATGAGGTTATAAGAGAAGATAAAATTAGGACATGTACTGAAGAAAATTTTGAAAGCACGTTAACTGAAATGAGAAAGAAGGTAAGAGGTGTTCATCACATCGCATTTCAACAGCTTATAAGAGCCTGTTGCTGAACAAAGGCAACTTCTCACTTGGAGAAAGTATATTTTTAAAAACGTTGCCCCACACTAGGATTTTCTCCTGTGTCGTGGGTGCATTTACAAATATACAAGTTCACATACACATGACACCCAGACCCGGAACAACAATTTGTAGATCCAACAAATAGTTGCTCCGTGCGGGAATCGAAACCCGCTACACGAAGCGCGGCAGCCAGTTGCTCAACCACCGCACCAACCAGTCATGGAATGGGGTTTTAATCACCATGATTTCTCAAGGCAGATTGGCGATTTCAAACTTATAATAAGAAGTTATAAGTCCAAAAAAAAAGGTTTCCTCTCGATGTTTTCCTTCATCGTTTGTCAGTGGTGTCTTAATAATCTTAGAAAGTACATATTGGCTATGTGCAAAGCGAGTAGTGGCGGACAGACAACGACCGCAGCGCACAACACGGCAGAAATTGGAAATAAATGCGGATGATGCAAACCCTGTTTTTATTATTATATCCATTTTACAGTAAAACTATTGAATAAATTGCACTTAAACTGTCAAACACCAAGCGGTCACCGGTGACCGCAACCTATTGTTCTATAATTGTGTCTATATTGACGGTGCTCGACGAGTTAAATAATGCCAACAATACTATTTTAATCTTTAGTTTTATTTATGTTTGCAAAGAAAATTATAATGTTTAAATTGTTATTACAGTAAAACCTGGTTAAGTGAGACATCAAGGGACCTGCAATGCCGTTTCACTTATAGAGGTATTCCACTTACCCAGTGTCTCAGATATACAGGTATAAATAAATATCTGTCTCATTTACAGAGGGTTCATTAATAGAGGTGGCCTTGGAATTACGAGTGGAATAAGTGGGTAGAATAAGAATGAGTAAACAGACAATGTTATCTCAGTTACAGAGGTTTATGCATATAAAATTTACTCGCTGTCTTAGTTATAGAGGTAACTATGATGATAAATCGAAAGAACAAATCCCAGATATAGAGTTTACCTCGTCCCACTAACAGAGGTAATTCAGTGCCAAAGTGTTGGGACCTTTGCATGAGTTCCAGTTATGGAGGTTTCTCACTTATCCAGGTCCCACTTAACCAAGTTTCACTGTATTTGACAGCTTCCGCAAATATTGTAAACGCTACGCGGCGCTACCATCGCGCACATAGCCAATAGCTTGGAAAAAATCACATTGGTGCTTGTCAGGCTTCGAAACCGCACTTACGTGAATGCAGAACCACCGTCCTAAGCCTTCGAACCGTTGAATATGATGTTAGAGTTATATCAGATATATTTATCATTATTGGTCACATCTTTTTTATTTACAGTACAAAATAAGGGACAAAGTGCTACTGGTAAAGTGTGCAGTCACCATTGCATTCGTCATCATCGTGTTTTTCCTGCATTCTATACCGGAGTTTAGTAAGTTATAAATGATAAGTTGTTGTAAATGGAACGCTCCTGAACTCCTGAACTAATGTAAACTCCATGTGATGGTAAAACCAAGTTTAATTCTCATAAAAGTATTAGAGTCACCGAGGCGTTGCATCAACAACTTGCAGTTTATGAAGTCCAGAAAAGGAGATTATAAAGGAAACCACTTAATATCGTTATTACAGAATATTATTATCCTCCAGAAAACATTTAGAACAAATAAAACAAATATTACATATCCTCTCGACAATTGTGCCGCAAACAGAATGACGCCATCCGTTCAAAATCCTCTTCGTTTTCCCGCCTTTTCCGACCGCCTTCTCGAAATCGTCAAATGACGTTTCGAGAATTCAAGCCCGTTGTATTTTTTTTAAAACCCGCGTTCTCGATGTCGTCAGTTGACATTTCGAGAATCCAAGTCCGTTTCATTTTTGTAGGTTTGTTTATGGTCAATCACAAAGAAGTTCTATTACACAATAAAAATACAGATTAAATAATTAGATTAAACCATAATATTAATGAACCCTAACAAAAGTAAGGAATTAAATGTTTCTTTTTTGTTTTATGTAATAACTAGCTGTTCCCTCTTCGTCCGCCTGGAATAGAGATTCACGGCTCCTCCCCCGTAGATGAGTGCGTGATAATATGTAGCCTATATATTGACCCGACCTGTTAGTAATATTCATGTAAAATTTGAAGTAAATCCATGGAATACTTTTTGAGTTTAGTCCGGACATACATACAGACAAACAGACAAAAATTCCAAAAACCATAGTTTTAGCTTCGGTATCACAGGTAGACCACACCCCAAGCATTCTTTAAAATAAAATATTCAATGTAAAGTTTTAACTTTATTACGATTTTATTATATGTATGTATAGCTATGTATAGTAGATAGTTGTAATCAACTGTTCAAGTCTGATGTTACATGACTAAGATTAAAAGAAAAAACGATAAAACCATTGCAATTGCAAAAACGACTGCCCGGTTGGTGCGGTGGCTGGGCAACCGGCTGCCGTGCAACGTGTCGCGGGTTCGATTCCCGCACGGAACAACACTTTGTGTGATCCACAAATTGTTGTTTCGGGTCTGGGTGTCATTGTGTATGTGAACTTGTATGTTTGTAAACGCACCCACGACACAGGAGAAAATCCTAATATGGGCAACGTTTTTTTTTTTTTTAAAAAAAATTCATTATGTCAGCATTTCGGGAGCGTTCTATTTACACTAAGTGTACTTCATGTATAATAGCTCGTAGCTCATGAAGGACCACTGGTGGACTATAGACTTTCTCTAAAAAAAGGAGTTTGTTTTAGTATATCGTAACAAGTACGCGTTCGGCGCTCTGATTGGTTGGTTCATTGGCGCCGGCCAATCAGAGCGCCGAATGCGTACTTATTTCGATTACTTTAAACGTAAATCAAACTCGTACTAAGGCCTCGGACGTTAGCAGCGCAATAGTTGCGCGGCAGAAGCGCATTCCATTTAATAGTTAATACATTAATAAGAACAGCCGCGGTTAGCAACGCCGCCGCTTCTGCGCCGCAGTTAGGTTCAGTGTGGCACACTTCATTTCTAAAATCTATATTAATCATTTCGTTAAGGGGTACGGTAGACTCGATCGAAACATTACCTGAATAACAAACCATAAAAAAATATCGATTTCGAGTCGACAACATATATCCGCAAAATTCGGATTACGGAGATTATTTCGTTTTAATAATTCATTTTAATGACACTGACAGACAAACCGCAGTCGCCATCTTGAGTAGACAATAAACGTTCCGTTTCATACTAGATCTCAAATACACCTCGCCAATCAACACGTTGTGGCGTCAAAAAGTATAAATTAACAAGACATGGGAATAATTTCACGCGAACGAAGTCGCGGGTAACAGCTAGTGCATAAATAATATACACTGCATGTATACTACATAAAAGTACTACTACAATAATGTAGGACATACAAAATTAAGCGCAAGGTCGGCCTGCGGATTAAGAGCGTGTGTGTGTATGTATGTATGTATGTATGTATGTATGTATGTATGTATGTATGTATGTGTGTGTGTATTTATGTATAATTATGTATGTATAGATATGTGATGTAAGTACCTGAGTATGCCTAGAATCACCTCCAATATCATTCACTGCTCCATCCACCCAAAGGTTTCCTGGTAGACATCGCTTTTAGTGATAAGGCCGCCTTTGTACCCTACTATTCTTGGATGTAACTCGACATTTATGTTTATATTGCTTTAAGGTGTACAATAAAGATTATTCTTATCTTATCTTATCTTATTAGGAAGATGGAAAGTAGCCGCGAAAAAGTCAAAGTATTTCAACTTTGAAAATAATAAATAGTTTGATTTTGTGTCTCTAATCGATCTAACCTTGAGATTTTTGTGTGTACCTGTATCCTTGTTGTGTGTCGTGGCGTAATAAATGGTTTTTCTTTTTTCTTTTTATTTATTCTTGTATATACCTACATTTGATCGGTTAGATAATTCAATCGATATTTTTATACGACTTATAAGCATCATATCTCTAGAACAATTTCAATTCAAATACCAAACGTCATCCATAAAGACCAGGAAGATGGCTAAACGACTTATTTGTAACTTTGTAACATTGGCTCATCGCCGACGAACATACGCGGTCGCAGCACGCGACCGCCGCTCTTCTGTTTAAACTTTAAAGCGCGACAGTCTTGCTGCTAAAGTCCCCTAAATATGAAAGAGCTCTTAATGGCCACGTCTTCACGCAGGTTTTCAACCTGCTTGCCAGTTTTGGGGCTAAGGAGGTTTTCTTATGTAGAAAACCTCCCATAACTCGTTGAGTACCGTCATTATAGACTCAATTAAAGAACAATAGGTTGAGGTACAACAGTGAGAAAAATTTGTTCTACTCTGCCGTCATTATTTTTTGTTCTAGAGTTATTTCATAGAAAAGAAAGGTTGCCTCTATACATGATTCTCCCTTGTGTCGTGGGGTTTACAGGCATACACTATACAAATATACGATTTCGCTTCATTATTATTTAGGTACATAATACAATAAAACTGAAATTTTTTTTTGTTTCTGGAAAATCATCGAATAATTTCTCCCGCCTTGGGTGAAGCGAGAAAAATTGTCAGACACATACTGACTAAAAACCAATCCGTTCCGAGTCCTGCTTGGAGCCGTAGCCCCCGTAAGCTGTTCGTAGGTCACGCGCTAATCGTCTGAACTTCGATTTATTAATATTTTTGTTTTGGACAATCCATTTTTCGAGGAAGGTGGCCATTCGCTTGGTGTACTGTTTCTTTAAAAATAACAATGTTCAAACCATTCTGACAAACTTAATAAAATGCCTACAATGCTTTGCACGTCCAGTATAATAATGAGTTCAGGGCTCAGTTTTGGCTACCACGATTTTGTAGTGCATCCATGTTTGCTGACGCTAGCGTAGATGACTTCTATGCAATTATGCATAAAAAAGTAGCGTCGATAGTGCGACAGAGATGATACTGTTCTGCTCAGTAGGTTCACTGAACCCCATGTGTTGGGGTACGGACGGGACCAGGGAGCCTATAGAGTTGACACCCCCCATACTTAGTGTTGAGCGTTTAAATGTTGGGTAATAAAATTAGTTTATAAGATTTGTTGTAACTACTAACAACATCACTGTGCTTATGGACTGTGTGATCTGAAATAAATGATTTTATTGTTATTATCCTTATAATATTATAAATCGGAAAGTGAGTTTGTTTGTTTGTTTGTTTGTTCTGCTTTCACGCCATAACTACTAAACCGATTGCTTTGAATGTTTTGCAGATGTATAGTTAGAAGTCCGGATTAAATAATAGGGTACTTTTTATCCCGGAAAAATTCTTTCTTTCTTTCTTTCTTAGATGGCGCTGAATGTATTGGTATATGTCAAATTGGCTTTTCATCCTTTTGTGACGCGAGCGAAGCCGAGGGTAAAAGCTAGTTTATTATAAAACACCCCATCCCCAATTCCCAAAATGCTGGTAACGCGATTGTGTGTTAGCTCTGATGTTGCGGGCTACCGATTGCTTACCATCAGGTGATCCATCTGCTTGTTTGTCGCCCTATAATAAAAATGTTGCTGTGTATGATTTTTGGTTTCGTCAAAAGCTTTTGATATTATCAACCTAATTGTATGTAATATATTTATTTATTTAAAATGGTATTTATTTAAAAAGGTACTTATATAAAATGGTATTTACTTAAAATGGAATTTATAAACAAGTATACAATATTCTAGTAGCGGAACAAAAAGGATATCCCAATGGTTATAACCTCTTCTTATCGATCTTATGTCTCCTGTATCTTGCATCTCACTCGCACTTGTGGGCACAAGATGGCGGCGTGGTTTTCTAATTTGTGTCTTTCCTTCTTTTCCAATAAAATATATTTGGTATATATTTATTTTTATATTATTTGTTCTAAATTTAAATATACAGATAATGTCATATTTCTCATTATCGGTATGATTGGTCGTAAGTGTTTAACGTTGACAGAGCTGAGGTCGAAGGGATGGATTTTAATAAATTAATTGGTCACCAAAAATTTATAGCAAGCTGTCAATTTTGTTCATTGAAGTGTTGTTATTAATTATTATGCCCTTAATATTTAGTTGTTTGCAAAAAGAGTTCCTCAAGGCGCATAGTTGGTCCTACCCAGTTATTGAGTATAAGCCATGTAATTATTTTGGGAAAGTAATATGTTTCATCTTTTAGTTACTCATTTATATCTACGATTATTATTTAGTATTTTTGATTTTCGAATATTCTCAGTAGTGGGCATATATATATTTACGTAATATAATATTTATGTATGGATGTACTAAATGTAGGGTTGTTCTGAGTTACAAAAAGTTTGAGTGAGGCGTGTTTTAAGTATAAATACTTTTTGTTTCACAAAATGTCTATTTTATTTATTTACAAAATTGGGTAACATTTATAATTAGTTAATCATTATTTAAC